GTAGTTAATATTTTTTTATTGATAAAATTCGTCTTTAAGAAGTGTGAGTGACTGTAGAGAAGCGAAAGAAAATAAAGAAACTGAGTTATCAAGGAATTCGTGTAACAAAGATTTAAGTTATTGAGGTTCTGCACGCACTGAAACGATTAATACTTTCTTCTCTATGAGCTCGCCTTTCCCCGATTATGAATATAAATTCTTCTGCATCACTTTTTAAAGTTTATTTAGATGTAATAGGCAAAGGATTATGATAATTTTGACGACAACTTTCATAGAATTGCAGACCAGGAAAACTTTCACAATCCATTTGAGGAATGTTTGAACAGTTTCCTATGTTGATCCAACTTTATGGCGTGCTAAACCAATTTGACGATAAGTCCCCAGCTACACATTATAGACTGTAAACGTGGTATACAAGCAAATAGCATGGCATTAAAGAACAGGAATTATGGCTACTACTATTTCACTCGTTCACATCATTGTGAGTACTTCTTCAAAATATTTCCAGGTGTTAAAAAAAGGTTCTGTTTCATTGAGTTTGAATTAATAAGCTTTTTACATAGTAATTATAAGAAAAATGACTCCTTAAGATTTTAATTTGTATTTAGCCATTGTATGTCTCGTAAAGGGCAATTGGCTTCAGCGCCGTTAGATATCGGGACCCAACCAGTCGGTCACCCAACCAGGAACCCGCGAAATCTCGAATTCGCTGAACCTTCGTGATTTCGCGTAATTAACGAATGCGGCAAGCGATGCCGGTATTGCGGTCGTGGGCTTTTTATTAGGACCATCCCAGCATTCGCCTGTATGACCAAAGGAAACCACGAAAACCCCACTCAGGATGGCTGGCACGGGGATTGAATCCAGGCCTCCCGAATGCAAAGTCAGCGCACTACGTCTAAACCACTTTGCTCGGTACTCGTAAAGATACCGATACAAACAATACCGAAATAGTTAATGCTATAATAGAATATAGCGTTTCGAGATGAGGTTGTAAGTCCCAATATGGGATAAATTCGTTCTGCTGATGCTTCTTTGGTATTAAGACGAGAGCCTAATTCCTCACCCCATTATTATCCAAAATTATAGATGTTGTAAATTAGTATTCTGTCGAATTGTATCGAACAGACTGATATTGAAAATACTATGCTTTCTTGCAAATACAGTTATGAACAAAATTACATTAAACAATAAACACGTCTATAAGAACATCACTTTTCACAGGTCGCAGCATTTATTTTCATTTGTGTTCTGACTTGATCTTCCTAAAATGTTGAGAAATTCGGACAAAAAACTGAGTAAAAAGATATGCACATGTGCCTTTTCCAGGGTGAAACGTGATGACGAAGAGGGAGTCAGATGGAACACGCGTTTTTAATTGTTTGTTAGAATTTCCGTCCAATGTTAACATAATATGTGTTTATATTAGAATTCATCTGTATACATTGTTGCTTTTTTTGAAATGGATAATTTTTTTTAAAATCCAATTATGACATATACAGCCACAGCACACAAGTGATCGAAGTGGCTCAAAATATTTCTACATTAAAAATATAAATTTTAAATTCTGATGTCTTCAAACTTTCGCCACGAACTACCGAATCAGTGTTCATTTATACGCTATGAGTTGCGCAACTACTATATCACGATGACAGATCCCCTCTTTCTGACAGTTCTTTCCACCCCATTCCTTCTAAGCACATCTGCACCTTCCGAAAGTTCTAAGAGACTTCACTAGCGAGCCCAAACACTACACCGGAGGTAGGCCGATTGATTTCTCAAACGCGATGCAGTTAAAATTGAAGGAAATCAAAATTACTGGGAGATCTTAAACACTTTGGCAGTTACTAAGCATGATTCCAACAACATTTTTTTGTATTTACGCTTAAGTTCGCAGTTTGCAGTACATTTCATTTAGTTTCATGCAAAATGAGCGAAGAATATTTGGTTACTCGTTTATGCCAATAACTACGATAAATATGTCTTTAATTGGGTGTTTTGAAACTAGAATATATTTCCTTCTCGCAAGATTTACTTATCGATGTTATGACTAGGTTTACAGTAGCAGATATATTTTGCTTATTAAAAGTGAGACAAACTTTGCATCATCCTGCATCAATCTCCATTCTTCCCGTATCAGCATGTGTATACGTCTGTGTCTTTTGTTGCTGTGTGTGTAATGTGTTATTATGCATGTGCATATGTACCTACGAAAAAATGTTATCGATCCCAAGATCTAGTTTTTTCTCCATTTTATTGAACATGAAGCAGATTGTTAGTTTAAATTTTATAATTAATTATTGTTATTGTTTCAATCGCTTGATATTTCTTCAATTTCATGGTTCAGCGAAGTTCAATGTCATCAATTTTTCAGTCAGGGACTTGATGCATCAGTTTCATCAATACCCTTGTCACAGATATCCGCTTATGGCGCGGTAATGGCCTTCAAAAATTGCAGTAATATTATCTGTCAAGGGCTTCAGAATAGGGCTGATAATAACTGTTTCCTTGAGCTAAAAATGCATGAACAGTCTTAGAACAATATTCAGTCAGTGTTTATAATAGTAGATGTTTAATCGATTGCTTTAGCATAGTCATTTGCGTCTTGATAACACCAACGACAAGTTTATTTTGAAACAATGTTTTTAGTTCCGAGGATGTATTCGTTTGAGATAATTTCTAGGTCGAATGTCAATACGGATACTGCAGATTTTTACTAGAACCGTCGACATATTTCACAGCAAGGAAAACTAGTTAATAAAATCTCGTCTCTATACTTGTTACTATTACTATTTATTATGTTCACATTTCTCAACGGCACAATTCACTCATTCGCTGAGTCTCTAATTCAGCGATATTTCTAATTCAGCGAGACGGTTGGGTGGCTTCTTTTAGATCACTGTGCCGATCACTTTAGTCGGATCACTGTGTCATGCATCACGGTAGTTGTCACCTCGTTAGGGCTCCCCCCCCGTTTGGAGAAATGAATCTACCGTTTCTCTACGTGCGGGACAAAGGGAGCGAAGATTTCTCCTCTTTTACACCCTGAAAGAGTCCAGTTACCGTCAGGCAGTAAAAGTTGCATGACAACACAACAGATCGTCAGAGCCCCATTTTAAAACGTAATAAAATTGTCACTGTGGAAGACAGGTGGTCGTAGCGATTCTATGATGAATTATTGTACAGAACCTATATGTGATGGGCAGAAATTATCATCCATGACAATGCGTTTACTACTTTTTTTATTCTTGCATTGGCAAATCTTCGGCGAGTTGTGAATATGTGACTCTTCGGAGATGTTCTCCATCCACTTTGGGTATTCTGACAGGTACTGGAAGTTGACTCATTCAAATGTGTTATTTAAGGGATGATGACGGGTTAACGATTTATGTTGACTGGAAAACCTGACTCCTCAACCGTAACGTTGAAACGTTTACAACTTTACTCATGATGTTACGTGTTTTATAATCAAGTTAATATGTACCTTAAACGCCTCTGTGGCGCAAGGGCTTAAATAAGCGTCCAACTTTTCATTCACATGTCATCGTCGTGAAAGGCAGAAGAAAACCATTCTAACCATCTAATTAGGGAAGGTCAACACGTAAAAGTATGCCTCATCCTGATCCCTACGCGCACCATCATTCACCTGTTTTTGACCCTTTGTGACAATTTTCCCTTTTATCAGAATTATAGATTTGCTAAAACCTCTCGTATAAACGAAACCGACTCGTATTTCTAGCCAATAAATGACAAATATTTTGAAAATCGTAAATCTATTGGTTAGAAAACCAAGTCAATGGGTTTGTACAACGTTGGCAAACCAGTTTGGGATTCACATGCGTTATGCGAACACTATTTTAGGGTAAGGGTACATTCAGCGCGATTCTGATAAGGGTAAGTATACTTTCAGTGCAATTTATTTTCTGTAATTCCCTACAATTATTTAATTGTATGCATTTTAGATACGTGTGAGTGTGTATGTGTCTAGGGGTAGGAGGGGAGCGGCTCAAAAATAGCTTGGAACCTCGAACATGGCTAACTCCCCCCTAATTTTCCTCTTTGAAAGCAAGCTCCCTAGACATTTGAATCGTAAACGAGGATTTAAAAAAAATTAATTCGTGTTCGGCTGGTTAGGCCTTTCAAGTTTTTTTAATAATAATTACTACAAAGTTGATAACATACTGGATTGAGGATGAAGGTCTTGTAGATGTTGAACTGTAGGATGTTCACTGTAATCGTGAACAAAACGTTTGGCCCTTTAACTCCAACTGGACCACGGCCTACTAGCCTGGAAACTTTCTCTGATAATACAAAATAAGTTTCTACGCTGGTCACTAAATTCACTCTGGTGTATCCGCAAAAAAGCAAATTCGAAAAGAACCCTCTATAGTCCCAATAAAACAATGGATAGACAGGATCTCCACATAAATCTATACAAGCCTAGCATCTTACCCCGTGTGTCAATAAATTCCATTTCATACCCCTAACTAAGAATTAAAAGTTGGTATTCTAAAGACGTACTATGACCTCCGTAAAATGGCATAACGGAAAACATTTAAAAGTAATGACGATTGAGACATAAATTCTAGTAGTTAAAGGATCCTCCCCAGACACTCCTCTGTAATTAGTTAATATTCAATTGTAAGCTAAAAAGTGTAAAGCTACAGTATGTTATTAACTTTGTATTAATTTGTTATTAAAATAATCTTGAAAGGCATAATAAGCTGAACACGATTTTTTTAAATCCTCGTTTACGATTCAAATGTCTAGGGAGCTTGCTTTCAAAGAGGAAGATTAGGGAGGAGTTAGCCATGTTTGAGGTCCCTAGCTGATTTTTGAGTTTGAGTGAACGAAACGTTTGGCTCTTCAATGCACCACGCCCTACCTGCCCAGAAACTTTCTCTGCTATTGACTCCCGTCGTGAAAGCCTACAATACTGATTTTGTATTATTCAACTTGCTGTTTGCCGCCCCTCTCCAAATTTTTCGGGCGTAGGTCAGCGATGAAGGTGTAGCATATGTTGATCGAGGATGATTTTTAAAGCTTTTCGCCCGGCGTGTGCGCAGCGCGCCGACCCTGACGTTCACCAAACTGCGCGGGGCGGACGCGCAGAAGTTGGACGAGCTGTTCGGCGTGCAGGACTGCCTCATCGAGATCAACCCGGGCCGCGTGCTGCTGCCGCCCGACTACCAGCAGATCGGCGAGCGCATCATGAACCTCACCGTGCACGCCGACGACACCTGGCTCGTCTCCTACCCGCGCACAGGTGAGCAACCAAACTATCGTTAAGCCCAGGTAGTAAATTACAGCTCATTCTTCTAGCATTTAGCGATTAGGCAGAAATGCGCTGTTCGTCATTCACTTTGTCTTCAACATCTCTTCGGGATCGGCCGATATCTCTTCTTCCTTCGGTTGGGTAGTTCATCACTAATTTTGGAATACATCTTCCTCCATTCTTTCCGATATGGCGCGCGCCATTCTTCCTGTTTTCTACATCCTTTCATTTATGTTGTTATATATCAGCTCTTTTCGCGATGTCTCATTTTTGTCTGGTCTGTTTAATGCAAGCTTTAACTTCCTAAGAAATCTCCTTTTGCTGCTTGGAGCTTACTTAGCGCATTAGCAATAAAATTAGTCATGCGGTCAATCCTGCATTCTCGAACTCCATCCAGATTCTATGCCAATACAAACATTAAAAGCTCAACAACGAAAGTCCTCATTGATCGGGAGATAAATTTTGTTCTGCATGTGTAACGTCGTTTTTAGTACTTTGTGAATTTCTAAGTATTAATTATTAAACAGACTTAACTATGAGGGTCTCGGAAAAGTACAGTTTTCGAAAAAAGTACTAAAATATTTATGGATAATTTATTTTTATATGAAAATAGTATTTTTAAACTATTATTCATCACAGTTTCGCCTATGTTAACACTTGTCGTATGTGGCGCGACCAGTTTTGTATACCGTGCTCAAAAAAACTTACCGTCAGTATCGTTAGCACGACTGCACAGTATTTTTTGTTCTCGTCTCAAATCAAGGCGCTTGCCACCTAACTCCATTTTTTTGAAACAAAACAGAACGATGACCTTGTGAAATCCTCTGAAAGCATGGTATTGTGAGCGTCTGTTTTCATTAATTTTATAAACTTTCTTTACAAATCATCGGGTGCAACAGAAGCGACCACTCCGTGTTTCACGTGAAATTTGTTCGACTTTCGATTAAATCGTTACCCACTTTTCACCATTCATTTACTTATCGCGTCTTCCAAGTAAACTCTTTAACTTTACAAGAGACTTTGGCCGGTTTACATGTGTCTGCGTTCAAACACTTATCACTGGCACATGCTCACAGTCGGGGGAAAACCAATTGTCTTAAACATTTTAATGTGCACAGCAAACTGAAAACACAACCAGAGCAACCAAATTGCGACATTTTAAGGCCAGCCGAGAAAAGGAACTAGTGCATGGCTATGGGGACGCTCACTCAGCGCTGCTGGGCGGGTGCGGAGAGAGATAACGAGTACTACTTCCGAAATACGCTTCGCATTAAATCAACGAACAAATATTTTTGTTGACTTTCTAAGAAGATTTTTATAAGAAAAGGAGCAGATCCCAACTCGTTTGCGGATTCATTTGTTTCATTGACTGCTCACGTTAAACGAGAAGCTGGAAATGGGTATTTAACCAAGGTATACATCTATGAAAGCTCGAAAAAATCTGGGGATGGGGAATACATACGAGGTACTGATTATTCTGCAAGGAATGAGGGAAGACGAGCGATATAGCGTGAAAAAGTTGCTGATCATACAAATAGAGTATGAGAGTATCGAGGTATGCGATAATAGTCGACAATTCATCATTTCGATAGGTATGGTATAAGGGTTAATATAGTCTATATATATGATAAGGTATATAGGGTTATATAGGTTGGTAGTAATATATATACGCACGAAGTAATCCATAACCTGTGTATTTCGTTTGGTGCTCCGCGCTGTCCATCCTGGGGTACGTCAGTTATCGCTCTTCATCCACCAGTCTGTGTATGTGAGTGTCATTCCACCACTGGGGGTCGGTGGGGGGGGGGGGGGGGGGGGGTCTGCACGTGGGGAACTGAACTTCTTCAGGATACGTCAGAAGAGAAGAAAAAGTGTCGATAAGAGTATTTTTAAGGAGTTTAATCTATAAAACGATATTTTTTAGAGTGTATTTAGGCAGAGGTATACAGTAATAAAACTCTCAGTAATTTTCTGATATCAGAATCTGATCATCTTCAGAACAAAGCTAAGAACGAAGGGTTATGAAATAATGTCGAAAGAATGGGTCTCTTGCAGGAAGATTGGATCGGGGCTTCTAAAAGAAGGAATTTAAGAGAAGCGGAATAAAGATGTCTTGGGCAGGGTGGGGGGGTGGGTGGGCAGGGGATTTACTGACTGAATAGATATGCTGGCATTTGCTGGTTTTCTTTTAGTACTAAACACTGGTATGGGATGGTTTTGAGTTCAGCGATAGCAGCTCTGAGGTTTGTAGGGTGTCGTAGGGAGATGGATGAATTCATGCCGCTCTCCCTTAAATAGTTTTGCTTCATATTCATATTTAGAAAATCATATAGTTCTCTATTATTTTTGCGTTATTAGTATGATAATTACATGTTCGTCAATGTTCTCTTTTATTTGAATTTTATTTCGTCACTTAAATGCTAATTATAATTAATTATCTCGAAACTGTTAAGTTTTATTCCCTCCCCCGGCGAACATTTTACGTTAAAATGTTACTAGACCAGTTTTATAATACATTAATGTTAAAAAACGAGTGTTTTGGGGGTAATTTATTATAGAATCGATGTTTAATGTCGCAGTCGTTGTTTTAACTGGCGACGTGCATTCCGTCTCTGTTTCGCACAGGTGATCAATAAATAAATTATTCCAACGTACAACAACGAACCAGGTTCATTAGAGAAGTTTGTAAATTACCTCCCTAAAGGAGGAGGGAAATTACAAAAGTCAAAGAAACATAAAATATGCCATTTTTACACAAAAATAATAAGTTTTTTTTTTGGAGGCAAATTTTTTTTTAAACATACTCTAACATGAAGTTAATTGTGGAGAAGTAGTAAATGTGGATTTGTATAATGCTAGAACATGGGCCAAATTTTTGAGAGTCATAAAGACAGAAATATAGTTAGCAAATTAGTACATGTGCAATGTATGCATATGTTTTTGCACATCACAAAAAGTATCTGGCATATCCATAGGATAGGATACATCGGGACGGTTGCTTTGAACAGCTATGAAGCATTCTTGTCCTGCTTTCAATCTATCCTGGCAACTGATGAGCGCCATATACTTTCCACTCTGACGGAACGGTCAGGCGTGAGACAATGCGTATTGTACAAAGTCATCACATCACATATTTCAATGGAATGATTTATCATTAATTTTCTTTCCGTGTCCATGAATTTCCATGTCCTTGTTTACTTTAGCTTTCATACACTTGCGATCGCTCAGTTTTCAAAAAGATACGGTTATATAAGGAAAATGTAATTATCCCCTGACAACATTAGATTTAAATGAAAATTATATGATAAAGAGATATTAAAATCGGTTACGGGATTGGTCAATGTTGGTAGAGAAATAGTTACGCAACGTTCGATATAGTAATTTCTTCCTCAGGGACTACAGTGTAACATAAACATGAATGAGGAAACAACATTGCAATAAATTTGATCGTTTTAATAATTAACACTAATAAAACAAACAATATTTAAAATTTAAATATGTTTTAATTGTACTTGTTTTTAATTTTTTTATTGTGTCAATTATTCAACCATAATTTATATGTTAATATATGTTGTCCTCATTCATTGTTTATTGTTACACTGTAATCTGAGAAAGAAATTATATATTTGAAACGTTGGCGTAACTAATTGTTTTTTAACCGCATTGACCATCGTGAACCGATTTTAATCTTATTCTTCAATTGGCCGTGATTATACAATAGATATAATTTAAGCATTTCTTATTATAATATTGTCGAATATTGTTAAAACGTCGTATTCCTCGCAGTAAAAATCTTGCACATTCTAACAAAACCCTGGCGGCGCGCATGCTGATAGTGATAACCATTAGATTTGCGTGTGGCACGGAACGTACGGCACAGTTGCTTATCAAGGTCGCGGAGAGCAGGTCATTTGTTTAAGACCACGTTGACCACCACCAGGCGAAAACAAACATGTGTAACATGTAGCAAATAAACGTGATGCATTGCGTTTTATGACGGAAAGCATCTTACATGAGGTGGCGAGGTTTCAGCAAACAGTAAGAAGTCGATGTACGAATTAATATGAACCAAGCTGATGAGACGGCAAAGTCGTCGGAAAGCACGCTCTTAATAAATCAAAGTCGACAAAGAATTCTATTATTTCATCCTTGAATATGTCAAAAATACATCATCCGCATTCCTACAATATACAATTAAGTTATAGCAGGTTTATTAGAGTAAATATGTAAGAATATTTGTGCAGCTGGCACGAGATAATGACGTCATATGCGCGCCCAGCGTTGTCAGCACTTTTGAAGAGAAACTATAGCAATTTTATCGAGCGAGACATTTGAACATTGACACGCGTAGGATCGTCTGACCAAATTCTGATAACGTTAGTTGGATTTGGCTACGGATCCAACTGATTCCACAACTTTAAAGAAAACCATTGTAGAACTTATTTAGAATTGAAAGAGTGGAATGTAAGTCTGGCAAATTGTACTCTGATTTCAACTCAATTTTACAAAGTATTCAATTCTTTGAGAAAAAAAAAAGATACGCAGTTGGTTTGCTCATTTATTTCTTAGCAACATATAAATATTCAACAATACCTTGATTGATTGGCTTGATGGCACCAAGATTGATTGGCTGATGTTTCCGAGCACGTCGCTGCTATGGCCACTAGCATACGTGAATGTTTATCAAAGCAGTGGCGGTATCCTGCCCACTGGACGGCGAGATCGGCGCAACCTACGGGTCGCTTGCGGATATACTCCGTCTACCTATCTCCCCTCAGCTGGCGGCCTGTCCAGCGAAGGAATCTCTAAGAGTCGCGGTCTCCCGAGTGGGGAAAATGTGTGTGTGGGTAAGAGAGAGGGATAGGTCACGAAGAAGAAGAAGAGAAGAAGCGAAGAGGAGAAGAGAGAAGAAGAGAAGGACGGAGAGGAGTAAGACTAGAAGACGAGAAGAAGAGAAAGAAGAGAGAGAGAAGAGAGAAGAAGGAAGAGAA